CACATTGTAAGCTTTACAAGGTAATAAACGTTTCATTTCATTAATTGCCATATATTAAAAGAAATTTGAGGCCTGACCACTTACTGTAGAAACTACAGAATTGTTTACGTTCTCCAGTACCATGATTTTTTTTTTTTTTTTGGTTGCTACCCTTGACAAACTTAATAATAATTATAATAATAATCGATTCGATTCCCGGCGGGTAGAAACATTTCAACGTGTTTCCTTACACCTGTTGTCCTGTTCACCTAGCAGCAAGTAGGTACCTGGGTGTTAGTCGACTGGTGTGGGTCGCATCCTGTGGGTCAAGATTGAGGACCACAATGGAAATAAGTTAGACAGTCCTGGATGACGCACTGACTTTCTTGGGTTATCCTGCGTGGCTAACCCTCCGGAGTTAAAATCCAAAGAAAATCTTATCTTACATATGCGTGATACAGCTTATATAGATTTCACAGCAAGATATTCTGGACACTGCTTGCGAGCAGTTTTATAAACATTATTTAACTTCAGTTGCTCTACTCTGACTTCAACATTCAGTATATTACAAGCTGTGAATCATCCTGGCCTACATAGTTTCTTGGACCCAGGATGCATCTCACCACCATTTTCTTCTGGGTGATTTGTAGTCTGTCTTTCATTTTCTTTATAAGCTGGTTAATCTTACTGAAAGAAAGGTTTGGATTGATTTCGTTCCATGTAGGACTAAATTCGCTTTTGGGGGGAAGAAATTGATGAAAATTTAAATACTTCTTTATATTTGATCATTTGTGAGTGCTGATTCCGATTAGTTTTAACGCTGATAGCTTCCTAATGCAACTTCTGAGCGGCTTCAAGCTTAAGGAGATTGATCTCTGGCATATATCTGGAGAGGGTTTCGGGGGTCAACGCCCCCGCGGCCTGGTCTGTGACCAGGCCTCATGGTGAATCAGGGCCTGATCAACCAGGCTGTTACTGCTGGCCGCACGTAAACCGACATACAAACCACATAACATAACATTTTATCAATTGCATCTGCTAGAAAAATGACAGGATGGATAATGAAATGTTCAGAACTAGGGATGTCAAGCCCATGATGGCACTCTTCAGGTCGCTTGTTCTATCTAGGCTGGAATATTGCTGCACACTACCAGCACCTTTCAAGGCAGGTGAAATTGCTGACCTAGAAAATGTACAGAGAACCTTCACGGCGTGCGTAACTGAGATAAAACACCTCAATTACTGGGAGCGCTTGAAGTTCCTAAACCCTGTTTTCCCCTGGAATCAGGCGGGAGAGATACATGATTATATACACCTGGAAAATCCTAGAGGGACTAGTACCAAACTTGCACACGAAAATCATTCTCTCCGAGAGCAAAAGACTCGGCAGACGATGCAACATCCCCCCCAATGAAAAGCAGGGGGGTCCACTAGCACGCTAAGAGACAACACAATAAGTGTCAGGGCCCAAGACTGTTCAACTGCCTCCCCGCATACTAAGGGGATTACCAATAGACCCCTGGGTGTCTTCAAGCAGGCACTGGCAGGGACCTAAAGTCGGTACCTGATCAGCCGGGCTTGGCTCGTACATTGGGTTGCGTGCAGCCAGCAGTAACAGCCTGGTTGATCAGGCCCCCGGTCCCCCATGAAGCCTGGGCCCCAGACCCGGGTGCGGGGGGGTTGACCCCCCGGAACTCTTTCCCGGTAAACAGCCCGGCTAAAAGGTACTGATTTAGGTGCCTGTTCAGAGCCTTCTTGAAGACAGCCAGGGGTCCCGGATACCAAGAAATTTTCCTCGGTAGTTTCAGAAAAAGGTGTTTCCTTTTTGGAAGATTTTAATTTGGATGTGAGCATGCCTAATTTGCCAATGCCCGGGCACCTCATGGAGAAGACCCGGGCCCGGACCCGTCTGCGAAATACCCGTCTGTACCTAATTTACCCTTATTATTGGGAAATTGGAGTATTACTTTTTAGATGATTAAATTGCCTTTCTGACTTTAGATTAGGACTCGCAGCAAGTGGTTCAAATTTTCAAATATAGACTTAGAAAGGAACAGGAAAAAAAAGGGAAGGAGGGGGAGAGGGAAAATGAAAAAAAAAGGAAAAGAAGAGGGGGGAAAAGTGAAAAAAAGAGAAAAAAATTTTGAGAAGAAAAAAAGAAAAAAAGAGGGAAATTTTTGGAAAATTTTAAAAAAAAAAAGAGGGGGAAGAAAAAAAAAAGGGAAAAAAATTTTTTTTTTTTGGAAAAAAGAAAAAAGAAGAAAGAAGGGGGAAAAAGAGGACTTAGGAAGGAGAAGAAAGGGAGGAAAAAATTAGATTTTCTATGCCGTTTTTTTATGATATTGTTTAAAACAACAAAAAAGCCCCAAAACCCCTGACCCCTGTGGAAAACACCGTTTTTGACGTGTCCCCCCTTGACCCTCCCTCCCCATTTTTTTGCCTATCGATGAGCCCAAACCCCCGATCCAGGAAAAGATTTCCCTCGTATTCCGTGTGTAACTACTTTCCTCATCAACAATATCCTGTGTGGAACTCTGTCAAAGGCCTTACTGAAGTCTATATACACAATATCATATCCATTATCATGATCTCTACCACCTCAAATACCTTATTGAAAAAATAGTAAATTCGTAAGGCGGCAACGCCCCTTCGTAAAATTGTACTGAGATTCATTGATTAATTTATATCCTTCACGGTGGCTTCGAATTGCTTCAGCATTTATTTATTCCACCAATTTTTGTCACAATAAAGAATAAGCTAATTGGTCCATAATTCGAAACTAACGACCTGAATGGTAGAACATTTGCCATTCTCCATTCATCTAGTTACAAGGCTCGAATCACAGGTCCTGGCTACCCTTCTTCACTGGTCGCTACTAGGTTCATTCTCTCCCTGCTCCATGAGCTTTATCGTACCTCTTCTTAAAGCTGTGTATGGATTCTGGATCCACTGCATCACTCTCCAGATTGTTCCACTTCCTGACAGTTCTATGGCTAAAGAAATACTTCCCAACATCCCTGTGACTCATCTGAGTTTTCAACTTCCCACACCCGGGCTGTGGTTCGTACGTCAGTTTACATGCGGCCAGCAGTAATAGCCTGGTTGATCAGACCCTGATCCACCACGAGGACTAGTCTCAGACCGGGCCGCTAGGGCGTTGACCCTCGAAACCCTCTCCAGGTATAACCCCTTGTTGGTGTGTAGCATTTCTGAAACATTCTGTGCCCGTACACCTTGTCAATTCCTCTCAGTATTCTATATATTGATGTCATGTTCCCTCTGTCCCTCCTGTCCTCCAGTGTCGTCAGGTCAATTTCCCTTAACGTCTTCTCGTAGGACATGCCCCTTAGCTCCGGGACTAGTTTCGTTGCATATCTTTGCACTCTCTCTAATTTCCTGACGTGCTTGCCCAGGTGTGGGTTCTAAATTGGTGCTGCATATTCCATTACAGGCCTGACGTACACGATGTACAGAGTCCTGAACGACTCCGTACTGAGATGTCGGAAAGCTGTTCTTAGGTTTGCTAGTAGCCCATATGCTGTAGCAGTTATTTGGTTGATGTGCGCCTCAGGAGATATGTTCGGTATTATACTCACCCCAAGATCCTTTTCCTTGAATGAGGTTTGTAGTCTTTGGCCCCCTAGGCTGTATTCTGTCTGCGGTTTTCTCTGCCCTGTCCCGATCTTCATTATTTTGCACTTGACGGGGTTGAACTCCAGGAGTCAGTTGCTAGACCAGACCTGTAACCTGCCCATATCCCTTTGTAGTCCTGCCTGGTCCTCCGATTGAATTATCTTCATTAACTTCACATTGTCTGCAGAGACACTTCCGAGTCTATTCCTTCCGTCAAGTCATTCATATATACCAGATACACATATGCTGTTATGTATGATAATTCTGTGTAACTGTATTTGTGATACCTGAATAAACTTACTTAAACAGCACCTATCCTAGAACTGACTCCTGTGGAACCCCGCTCGTCACAGACGCCCACTCCGACACCTCGTCACGTACCATGTGTACTCACCTAGTTGTGGTTGCAGGGGTTGATTCACAGCTCCTGGCCCCGCCTTTTCACTGGTTGCTACTAGGTCACTCTTCCTGCTCCATGAGGTTTATCAAGACTAGTCATGGGGGGCTGGAAATTTATGCAAATTACTGGAAAACGCCTCAGTCATAAATATGTCTTCACCGGAGTGGAGAAGAGAGAGAGATACATGATAATATATGAGTAGGTGTTTAAGGTTCTGGTCCCAAACTTGCACATTGCCATAAAAACATTCTGGAATGAAAGATAAGGAAGAATGTGTAAAATAAACCCAGTAAAAGTGGAATGCCGTGGCCACAATAAGAGAACATTGTATTAACATCCGTGGGCCCAGATTATTTAACCCTCTACTACACAATATCAGAAACACTGATGGAACATGTGCACAGGTTTTCTGTAGTAAATCGGACATGTACCTCTGCCGAGTGCCAGATCAACCAGGCTGTGATGGATATTTGGGCCAGTGAACCGCCAGCAGTAACAATCTGGTTGACCAGACAAGCCTGGCTCAGGGCCATGTTGTGAAAGTAGGAAAAGCATATCAATGGCACAAACATATAAATACACGTTTGTAAATATGTATTTATATTTTATTGCCTTAGAGTTTATGACAACCTTACACTATTTATTTTGCGTGCACATAGGTAGAGGAGGCTGGGCTTATGAGGTATGAGGATAAGCAGCGACCGAAATGCATCTAGTTTTATTCTAATGTACAAATTATACTTGAGTTACTGAGGTATGATAGCAACAATGACGTTATAAATGCTATATCTACAATAACCGATGTAGAAATTTATTTTATGGAGTACGATATGCTTGACAGGAAGTTTCAGCGTAAATATTTGGTGTTTAGGTATGGAAGATAGAAGAAGGGTGAGGGGAATAAATTTATGATATGTGAATGTGTTATGAGGGATGCCTTTATGGTTGCTAAGTGCTATATGATGGAATATATTGGTTGGAGTGTGAGTGGTTGTGCGTGTGGCAGCGTGGTGGTGGTCTCGCGCGTGTTTACGGAGTTGGTGTACACAAGCCTACACATGTGTGTTATTAGAGTGTGTAACCGTGTGTACTGGCGTGTACGTGTGTCCTGGTGCCTACCCTGGCTGTGTGAACACCCCGTGGTGGTTGTGGAGGTGGCAGAGAGGGTGTAGTGTGGTGTGTGTGAGAGTGTGTGGCTGGGGTAGGTGAGGCAGGACTGGGGGCTAAGCAAGATGGCGATCCTTGGCCCCTGTGACGGGGTGTGTGTGGGGGGCGCCTAGCACACCTCCCTCACCTCACACACCACAAACTCACACTCACCATAAATAAATACTTAAATGGGGAAATTTCCATGGTGCAAGTGAGGGGCTAGTGGTTCAACTACAAAAACTATTGTGTGTACATTAGGCTGAAACTGCCAGCCAAGGTGGTTACAAAGCATCTTTACATCTACTGTATTTACTACCTTAACTCTCCACTCGGTTACAAAAACCACCAAAAAAAAGTTAGTTTGTATTGCTTATTGTTATTTCTTTCCTTTCATTAAATTATCCTTAAATTTACATATGTACTTTTCTATTTTGTTCTGGATGCCTTTATATGATTCATTGTTACTTCTTTGTTAACACTGAACAGTATTAAATATTAATTCTGTTATATTTTTGGCTTGTAAATGTTCATTGCATCACCTAAGTGTATTTTTAGTGCTGCCTTGTAACTTCATAGTTTTTACTGTTTTTTTTAATAAAGTTGTATGATCCACACAGATTTCCTGCTTATTTTCAATATAACACTACTAATAGTACTCTTAATATATAAATATAACATGGCTATTTAAAATTCATGCACCAAAAATGCATATTTGATTTTTTTTTTTAAATATATGAATGTTTCCTAAGGCCTCTTTTGCACACAACATATAAAGTTTAGTGTACTGTGGTGAAATATTTGGGTAAGTTCTTTATCTTGAGGTCAAAGACCCCATTGGAAATAAGTCACTGTGACTTTTTTTGGGGGTCAACCTAGGTAATATGCTGCTATGTATGATAATTTATGTAACTATTTATGTGTACCTGTACCTGAATAAACTTGCTTAATATACATAAACTTTTATTATCATTGGATAATACTGCAAGTAATTTTCAGAATCATTTATTGTGCTAGTTATATGACAGGTACTAACTGATGTATTTTTGTAGCTACATAGCCTACAGTATTGCTTCTATCATTTACTCAATTTTAATCTGTAAAAGTATTTTTTATTTCACCAAATATTGTATTGGGCACAACTGTTGCTTTATTGGTGAGAAAAGTTGATATTACACTTGCATTTCCAGAGCAAGTTTTTTCTTATAATGCAGTCACAACAGGACTCAGTAATGGATGTAAGTTGTATAAATATAGTTTTGGAAGGGATATTCAGAAGTATGTAGTGGTATAACAATAGGTATAGTTAAGTGGAACAAACTCCCAGACAGCATCAGCAAGTGAGAACTTTGGGTAGTTTTAAATATGGGTTTTTGGTAGATAGCTACACAAGTGGGTGTGGTTGAGTGTGAATTAGACCTGCTTAGCAAGGGTTAGTAAGCCTAATGTAGTATTCCACTGCTATTATGTACTTAGGTAAGATTCAAAACAGTTTTTAAAAATTTGAGCATGTGAAACATTGCCAGTTATGGACCCAAATAGAAATAAGTCACTGTCTGACACTTTTGGATTACCCAAGGTAATTTACACTATGATAATTGTACTCAGGTGTACCAGTGCCTAAATATACTCACAAGTTAGCAAACAGCAAGAGGCAATGGATGTCCTACCATCCTGTTAAAACTATGAAAGGGAAGCCTGTTAAATGTTTTGCACTGGCATGATAAGAGGAATATACATCCCACAGTCTTCTACTTTTGTTCAGTATACACTTATCTTTACTTTCCTTTTTTTTTTTTCTGATGCTGTAGTTCTTATTCTGGTCAATATTCAGTTTATTCCAGGGTCAGAACTCCACCAATACTTTATAATATAAAGCAACGATATAGTATCCAAATTGCATGAAAATTAGTGTTTGTATGTGCAAGTTGGTTTTTAGGTGATGTTAAGCACAATAATGTTTGAGCCTACTGATACTGATTATGTAAATTCTCCAATACTGAGTTGTACAGTGGAGAGAGTTGTATTTTTAGGCTTTTTTTTTTTTTTTTTTTTTTTAACTAAACCTAACCTAAGCTAAACCAGGCATTAAATTCTAGGCTAGGTTGAGCTACATTTAGACTTACCAAAAAAAAAAAAATTTCCCATTTGGGCATTTAATGTTTGTGATAATAATAAACTTACTGGTAAGATCAGATTTTATTTTGTATATAAAGCAACCTGCACAAGTAAGAATAAGTCTGTAATCTACATACAAGCCATTTTTGGGGGTCATTGCCTACATGGTTCCAGCCCCAGGCCAATCCTCCTGGTTGATACTTTGATGCTAGTAGTATGTAGTCAGTCTGATTAGGAATTGACATAAGGCATTTGTCAAACTCCCTCTTGAAGATAGCTAGGGGTCTGTAGATGAAGTGGCAGCACATTAGCCTCCAGTTACAGGTAAGTAAGGATGGGTTACTTAAGTGGTTAAATAATCTCTTTTAATGTTTGGACCACACGCTGGTCAAATAACCTGTGGGAGATTTTTTTTTCAATAGGAGTCCTTGTTCCACAAGTTACAGCACCTTAAAGTATGGAATGCTGATATGGGTTTCATGATGTTTAATAAACATCCATTTATTTTTTCATTTCAACTTTACCTTCTATTTCAGATATTTACATACCCAAATCTTCTCCCCATTATTTTTTATTATAATGTATAGTATAAATAATGCTGAAAATACTAGTTCTCATAACCGTTTACATAGTGAATACTATATAATAATTTTAAAAACAATCAATAATAAAAAATGAATAAATATTATATATGTAAGTAATGTAATGAATGCTTGTACTTGCATCAGTTGCTGGTTGCCCATCTTCTGTTTGTAGCTAGTTTGTAGGAACCTTTGAGGTACAGTATCTTTGTAATAAATTTTTGTTGCAAAGATATTGTTCTTTTGGGCACTTATTAAATTTAAAATTAACTTTTCTGTATTTCTCATGAGCATACACAGAATTAACAGTTAAGTGTATCATAATTTATACAACAGATAAGCACAAAAGAAAGCCACTAATTGTACAATGTATTTGGGCAAACTAACATGAAGCTTACATAAATCTAGAACCAGCATATATTTTAGACAGTTTGTTTTAGTGCTCTCTTCAGTAATCACAAATACATACAATGCAAATGTCACATAACAGTCACAAAATGGTACAAATATACAATGACAAATACAGTGAGCAAATGGTCAATTACAAAATAGTTGCAAAGACATAATTACATTGGTTTAATGATTTCAATCTAAAGAGTGATTGAAAAGTGGTGATAAATTTGCTGCATGACAATTTACGTTAATTCTATCATATATATGTGAGATATTAATAGTGTACTATTAAAGATGTGTTGGCAGGTGGGAAATGTTATTCAATTTTCAGCAGTGAGCTCCAAATTTTTGGGCCTTTTATTTACATGAAGCTTTTGAATGGGTTGAGATATACATATCCGTGGATTGTTAGAGAGAAGCTTGTTCCTTGTATTTTGCCCGTGTTTTCTGTTGCAGCTCTCAAGGTAGAATTTAACACTCTGGGTAATGTGAATCTGAGAGTCCCTGTAACATGCATGCACAATTTATAATTTGAGCACACTTACAGAGGTACAAAAAAAATACAGATAAGAGCAGCATGCCAAAGCCACTTATACTATGCATAGCATTACGGGCTGGCTTAAAATTAACTTAAGATTAACCTAACAATGAATGATATCATGAAAAACATTAAATTAAACTGATTACTATAAAGCCCAAGTGAGTATTACAAAGACAGGTTATATGGTTCATGCATTGTTGTAAATTCATTAGAATGTAGTATTCTGTTCGGTAGTTATTTAAAAAATAATTAAGTTAGAATGTTTTTAGGTTTAACATTTATGTGATATAATTTGAGAAACATTTACGATAACATTTATAAGGTTCAGTATTTCATATATATTTGGATTTGGGTGAGTAAGTGATCTTTTGAGAAGAGACTTGAATTTATAAACAGGTAGTGTTTCTTCTTTATATTATACAGTATGAAAATTCCAGATTTTATGGCCTTTTTATGTGCATTGAGTTTTACCTAGCGTGATATGTACACGATGAATATCAAAGAGTGATCTGATGCCTTGTGTTATTGTCATGTGGTTCTGTTGAGGATGGCAAGGAGATGATTGAGGGGGAGGATTAATATCAGAGTTGAGTGTTCTTGTATGTAATAGTGCAGTAATAAGTATGTATGTTTTGTATGGTGAGTAGGTATAATGTATTGAATATTGGTGGATGAGGTGCTGCCTGTAGTGAGAATTTGTTATCATTTCTAACTGCAGCCTGTTGTTGGGTCATTAGTGGTCCTAGATGGTTTAAATGAGTTGAGCCCCATGCACAAATTCCATAGGTGAGATAGGGGTAAATAGAAGGATATAGGGCCAGGAGGGCTGACAGATGGAGCATAGTACCGTATCTCGATAGAATGCCTACAGGTCCCCCCACCCTTGAAATTTTTTCTTAGAAATTTGTTGTATATGTGTATGAAATTTGAGTCTATTATCAAGGTGATTCCCTAAGATTTACCCTCTGTTAGCTTTGTGAAAGGTGATCCGTTTATCAATATGTTTTAAGAGGGACATCTGTACTCTGTTACCAAACTGAAATGAAGAAGGTTTGTCAATGTTTATGTGAATGTTTTAGTAAGTACTCGATCCCGGTTAGATATTTTCTCTGTAATTCGGTATTTACAGTATTGGCTAGCGTGACTGGGCTCGGTGGGATAAGACGAATGTTGTGTCATTCAGCAATAGTGTGGGTTTGTGAAATTGAGAAGCAATTGGTAGTCATATTATGTATAGGAGAAAGAGAAGAGGGCCCAAGGAACACTTCCCTGTGGCACCAACTGTAATTGGTTGTGCCGAAGAGTTTGCCTCATTTGCGTACCTATTTATTTTCATCGGCAAACTTACTTATGTCACTGTTCATTCCTTCTATGCCGTTTATGCATATTGTGAACAACAAAGGCCCCAACCCTGACCCCTGTGGAACACCGTTTGTGACGTGTCCCCCCTCTGACTCCTCCCCATTTATCCCTATCGATAGCCACCCCATCCAGGAAAAGATTTCCCTCGTATTCCGTGTGTAACTACTTTCCTCATCAACAATATCCTGTGTGGAACTCTGTCAAAGGCCTTACTGAAGTCTATATACACAATATCATATCCATTATCATGATCTCTACCACCTCAAATACCTTATTGAAAAAATAGTAAATTCGTAAGGCGGGAACGCCCCTTCGAAAAATTTGTACTGAGATTCATTGATTAATTTAAAATCCTTCACGTGG